GAATTCCCCAGCCAGCCATGCTGTTGAAGTCCACTCATCTTAAAGTGGCCAAGTTTGGACAACACTGATCTAATACATCCATCTTTTTTATGGGAATGAACCAGTAATTAGATGAAGCAAGCAAGAAAGTGGAGTCGTAGATGCTTATTTGTCCACAATGTATACAGTATCTCTCTTTCCTAAAACAGGCACTGGCTTTGTAGTTTCCAAGTGCTCATTTGCAAGTTATCTAACAGGGAAGCTCATAACATACACTAATACTCTGAAGAAAGTAAAAAGGGAGAAGCAAAACTAAACAGAACATACACACGCATATCATCTCAACCCTTGAAGTCTAGGAATGTGGATTTCAAAAGAAGAATGGACCTTTTGCTGCAAGATTTCTATTCCTTTTCTTCCATATCTGTTCCGTATCTGCCATCAAACTATGAGCAAGTTTGCAAAGCCTGAAGTACTCTCCTGACGTATCAGAATTGTTAACTAAGGAGAGTTGAAAGGACAGCTTGACTAAAAGCCCACAAGGATAAATCCCTAAAACTCGGGGAACCTCAGAAGCCTGTGATGAATTTTAACACATGCTTCCAACCTGACGTGAAGAGTATGCCAAAGAATCAAGGGTACCTGCATAATTGGAAACAAGTATTATTTGCTTAATCGATATAGCTCTACTGCTTAATCAATACCGCTCTGGCAGGTGCCTCATCCATACAACAGTGAGTGAGAGCCAGCAGTAACTATTGGGTCCAATTCTACCATTAAGCAGTGAAATAGTCATTTCCAGCTGCAGATGTTTGGCTGTCTTTCAAAAGGAGGATTTATTATTATTGTGTGTATACTGCAGGGTATGTGGGTTGGTGCTCTGAAATTTTTTGCCTCATGTGGCAAAATAATTTGGTTAGCTTTAAATATTATGCACCTTCAGTTGGGTAGCAAGAGGGTAACAAATAATAGGCAGTCACTGCAGAATGGAGAAAACGAGAATAGATGCAATGAGATGATGCCAACTAGTTTAGTGAAGCAGCTGTTGCTTGATCATATTATAAATTGAAGCTGCCTGCTACTCAGTTGAAACAGACTGTCCAAATATTGGTGTGGGTGATCAACCTTTTATGGTTTTGCTTGGGCTGAGAAAGAGGGACTGGTCCAAAGTCACCCAGTGAGCTTCTATGGCTAAGGGGACTTGAAGCTGGGTCTCCCCAGTCATAGTCCAACACCTTAACTACCATGCCATGCTAGCTTGGGTTTTGCTTGTAAATCAAAAAGAAGACACAGCTCAGAAGTACAGCAAAGGCTTCCAGGGCACAAAGTTCAAAGTTCAATTCTTATATTTCTAATTAATTTAAGATCAAATAGCAGCCAGTAAGAAAAAAGAGCCACATCTGTAATGCTGGGAAGTTGCTTCCAGTGAGAACAGATAAATACTAGGGGCATTCAGCTATTCGCCTGATGCTTTATCAGGCAACTGCTCAGAGTACTCAGTAGCCTACCTCTATCTGGTGCCTCCCAGATAGGTTGGAAGTAATAGCCCCAAGCACTATGGCCAAGAGAAAAAAATGTAGGAAACACAATACCAAACATACAGGAGAAACAAAGTTGCAAAGCACTGAGTTAATAATAATTTATTAATTTGTCATTATTTGTATGCCATCTGCTTTGCCAGATGTTAGGCACCCCACATCAATAAAACTTCATTAATATCTCTTGACAATAAAATTGACATAAGCCCATAAGACCATGTGGTCACTTAAGATCTAAAAGCATAAAACTGTCACCTCCAGGGGACAAATAGCAATCAATGTTCCTTTTAACCTATCCTCCAGATGGTCAACAAAAGAGGATGGTCTTCACCTGCTTCTGGAACAGCAGCAAGGAGGGTGCCATTCTCATTTCAGAAGCAGAAAATAACAAAATTCCATAACAGAATTCCAAAGGGTCAGAGAAAGCTTCTCTCTGTGCTGCCATCCTTCAGACCATCTAGGAGACAAGATCACCAACAGATCATGCTGTACAGCATACGTAGAATGGGAAGGTTCTACTTAAGGAGATGGTCCTGAAAATCTGGGCACCTTAGCCAAGAAGTGCTTCATTTTGAATTCTATCCAGAAATCTTCTAGTAGCCAATGCAGCTCCTGCATGAGAGGTGTGATTTTGCTGAACTGGGACAGTCTGTCAACAATTGGGCACTTGTGTTTTAGGCCAGCTGTGGTTTCTGGGTAGTCTTTGAAGGCAGTTCCAAGTAAAGCAGAGCCAACCAGCCAAAAGACAATGAGGGCATGAGTGACTGTTCCCAAAACATCCTTTCCAGAAATGGCCACATCTGGCACACCAGCTGAAGGCTCTCTTTCTTTATTATCTCCAACTGCTGTTCCAGCAAAAGCTGTAAGTCCAATGGGGGAAAAAACCTTCTGGGTAGTGCAACCCTATCAAGAACTAAAGATGGATTTTTGCTGTATCTAGGCACTCTCTGGACAACAGTTATTCCATCTGCCTGAGATTTAATCTGAGTCTGACAGTCTGCCTCCAATCCCCGACCCTCACAATTGGATCAGGATCCAATGGTATTGAATGCTGCTGAGCAATCTAGCAAGACAGAAGGGCTGCAGTCCCTCCATTTAAACCCTGCTGCAGGTTATCTACAAGAACAACTAATGGTGCTTCAATCCCACAGCCAAGCCTGAAACTCAACTGGAAGGAGTCCAATTAATCTGTTTCTTTCAGGTTCTTCTGTAGATGAACCCCAACCACTTTCTCAATGGCCCTCCTGCAGAACAGAAGGTTGGAGACCAGGCAGAAGTTTTCTAGAACCTCCAAATGAAGGGAGGATATCTTCAGAGGGAGCACATATCCTTCAAGATATGTAAGTGCAACCTCCTCAACTAAAGAAGCATTCACCACCCCTTGAATCCAAAGATCTGTTCCCTCCTGGGCAATTCAGATAATCCAGAGAGGTGGGAGTCCAACCTATGCTGCTGATCTCATACTACAGAGGACCCTGTCTACTTCTTCAGATTCCACAGTCTCAAAAGAATGCTAGATGATAGGACACTGCTGATTTCTGTAGATTCTTCCATGGCAAGTCCAGCTTCAAGCCAATTTATTATTGATCTTCGATACTGTTAAAGGAGCTCTTGGTATTTACATTTATTTAAATCACAGTTTCCCAAAGTGGTCAATATTGACCCCCAAGAGTGAATGGAACTATCCAAGGGGTTGATGTTATTATTATTCATAGTACTATTAAAGTAGTATTTATTAAATTATTTTCATATAATAAATGGTTGATGATCAATATGAAACTTCATGAAGGGATTGATTACCTTAAGAGTTTGGGGACCCCTGATTTAAATGGATACCTTTTGATACATTTTGAATAAATTGTAATTATTGAATAATTAATGCATTATTGCAGGGCATTATAACTTTGGATATTGTATTTTGGGGCACACTATCTCCACAAAAATGTGTCTTACAAATAATCTAATTATTAAAATCAGATTATTCTTTCATTTGTTTCCCTGCCTCAACCAGTTTGTTTTTATGACAAAATAATGTTATTCATATATGTAAGCATTCATTGGTGTGTATGTGTGTGTGTGTATATATATTCCACATTCTCTTTAATAGGAACTAGGAAATATACTTACATATTTAGCACAGTATGGAAAGGTCTGAATTCACTGCTACATTTAATAAAAAAATAACTGATTCATAAATAAACCATTATGCATTTCATTCTGGATTAAGATCATGGGGCTCAACCTTCTCTGTACTAAAACAAATAAAAATCAGGAACTCAAAATACTGGGCTTTTAAAAAATAAAAAGATTAATTCTGTCATGCAAATAGACATTCCTGATAAGTCTAATACTAATTTAATGTATGTATTGTCCACTTTTCTGTAGACTCTTAATTCAATGCCTTGCCATCCAGTTGCTCATTTATTGAAGAATCCTGGCAAGCTACTGTGAAGGGAAGTAGGTGGGGCAGTGATCCTTTTCCCTAAGCTAGACTATAAATAGGTCCCAGAAAAGATAATTTTCTTCAAGGGTTACTTCAACGTGAATATTATTTCCATCTAATGCTTGTGGCCTGGAACCAGAGAGGAAAAAGTAGGTGACATTTTCCTTTCTTCATTTTTGTGCTGCCCACTGCTGCCCAACAATTCCAGTAAGACTGAAAGGAAATATTAGAAAGATGTATAAAATCTAACCCACAAAAGAATTTAAAAGTTAAAGGGGATTGCATGAGCCTCCTTGAAACATTTTGAATCCAAGTGGTACAAATCTGGCATGACTTCTTTGTGCAGAGTTCTCTGCTTACAAAAGGACTACGAAGGAGTACAAAATAGAACCAAAAAGGAAGGTGGAATATTGTAGGAGCAATCTCTTAAGTATTTATTGCATCTAGATCTATTTTGCTCTAGCTAGCAAAGGGAAAAGATCAAGATTCTGACTGTTGATTATAGTCCGATTGTCAGGATATTTTCTCTAATTCCTTACAAAATTATAAAATAGAGTACAAAACAGCAGCATGTCAGATCTATTTGATACTGCAGAAAGGTATTACCAAAATTGTCAGTGAAGTCTTGATCCATGCTACATTAAAAATGTACTTCCTACATCCTATTAAAATTAATAAAATCTACATAAACATACTATTGTTTTTGCATCCACAATTTTCAATAAAGCTTCTCATGTGTTGCATCTTATGACATCACGAATGTGTTTGCATCACAAACTTAATTTGGTTCCTGAATTAATCCATTTTGGGTGTGCAAATGATTTGAACCATAAGCTGGCTAAATGGGATGGATTTGCATCTCTCGTTAAGCCTCAAAAAACTTACCAAGGTTATCATCAACCAAGCTTGAGAAGTCGTGCATATGGAGTCAGTAGATTCTTAAGTATATTGTATGAATTCAGCCCATTTGTACCTTTCTCCAACCAGAAGCTCATTATGATTCAATGTTTCTGAACTACAATTCCCAGAATTCCTACTAATTCAATTTAAGGGCACCTGGCTGGGAAAGCTAGCATAAGGCAATATCTTAGCAATCAGCAGTTAGTTTTTATTGCCACCCACTCACTGATCTATCTATACACTCCTTTTGGAATTTTGGAGAAATCGGTTCTACTTACCCAATAACTTGATGCTCATAATGCTGTAGTGTCCTCTGGAGAGTCTGCCTTATGGTCTGCGGCTACAGAATAAACAAAGAAATAATAATAAAAATGTTATCAGCAGTTTGTCAGTCAGCCTAGCTCTCAGCATGGTGTCTGAATAGAGGTGACTACTGATATTATTGCTTAATCTAATGTATATTTTTCCAATTACATATTTTCTTTCCTCCCCTCGCACATCTGCTGTGTCTCCTCCAGAGAAATGGAAAGAAAGATGCCCAGAAGTAGCAAGCTGTTTTTGTTCCACAAACACATCAATATTTCAAGGCTCTTCCTGATATTTTAGTCCTCCATTAAATCAGCAGTGATTCCTTTAGCGCCAGCACCACTAAATACAAAAAGCTGCAAAAGGAAGACATGATGTGTACAGAATAGTATGTTAGTCACTTGGGGCCAAGCTTATACATCTCACCACACTTATGCTCCCAACTGGTCTCTCAAGGCTACTTTCAGTAAAGTCCCAGAAAATTTCACCAACTGAAATTTGCTTCCGCATTATTTTCAGTGAGATTATCCTGGTTCTTCCATTATTTTACCAGGGTGGAAAGTTGTCCTGTTTTTACCAGTTCAATCAGCACCTTCCCATATTTCAGTTCACAAGTAGGCAACATGGTGACAGTGGAAATCAACTCAACAATACCCTGCCAGTTTCCCTCTCCCACCTGAATTGTTTTTTCAAAGATTATTTTGTTTAAAACGTAAATGAAATGAGATCTAGTGTGATGAAAAGTGTATCGACCATTGTCTTCATTTATAAAACTGTTTTGGGGCCCCTGCATCAACCACCTCAAAAATAAAAACAGAGGGTGAGTGGAGCTCAGTCTTGTCTTTGTAGGCATCACCAACCTGCCTGAAAAAAAAAACAACAGTGGGATAAAATTGAGCATCCGGGGAAGGAGTAGAGAGGGTTGCAAGTAAGGACCTTGCCTCTGGCAGCAATGGTGGCCATTTGGTGTGAATGTCCACACCATCCTCTCATAATTCCAGATATGCCCATCTTCCCAGAAAGGATGCCTACCCTTGCTTCCATTAAATCCTAATACTATTAGAAGAGAACTCCTATCATAGATAGAGTCTATCCAGATCAGAAGTAGAGGCAATGAGGAAGGGTGTGCAGAGTGATGGAGACTCCAGCACTCTTTGCTTATAGGTGCATATGCTCAAAAACCTGCATCCAGAAAGGAATTCTAAAGAAATTCTAAAACATCCTGAGAATGAAACAGAAATGGAAGCCCCTTTCATAACAAAAGAAAATGTGTAGGAACCTAGAGGACAAATTTCTGCATGCAACACTTGATGTGGCTCTTAGAGGATAACCTTTATCTGTGTAAAAGATAAAAGACTCCCTCGAGTCAAGCTTGATTCCTGCTGATTTCATAAATAAGTCCATGTAATTTTCTTGGCAACAGAATAAAATGGTTTGCCGCTGCCTCCTTGTGACTTTTTAAACTTCCCAGTCCAGTCTGTAGCTATAAAATTTTCCTGGTGGTCTCTATCCAATTTCTAACCAGCTCCAACCCTGTTTAGCTTTTCTTCTGAGGTCAACTAAGTATGGCTAGATCTCCTTGTAAGACAGAAGCTCCCAGATAATGTCATAGGACACAAATTGGAGGCCATCTCAATAGTCTTTGACAAGTGGGATAATCTGGCAACAAAAGCAAGTTATTTTTTCATGCCAATAGAATACAACCCTTTGTTTTCTCCCTAATAGTAAATAACCACCTTTATTTCTTTAGCAAAATTGTATAGTGTTGGTGCTTGAGGCACTATCGCAATGAAGCAAACCTACCCTCTCTTCCAGCAACAGATGACCTGGCCTCCAACATCAGAGGCTTCCTAATGAGGGACTGCAGAGACATATGGAGCCTCCTTCCATCACAATTGCTGAAAATTATAGCTTTGGAGAAACAAACCCACAAAACCTGTAGTATAAATCCTGTAGTATAAATCCTAGAACAGACATAATATTGCTTTATAAAAAAGAAGAAAAAAATCCAAACTCTGTCTACCTGCATGACACAACCCCACCATTTTGCATTATCACTCTACTCCCAAAAAGTTAATCCTCAACCCCTATAGATTTGAATGTGGGGTGAAAAGAAAGGGCATGAGTCCCTAATCAGAAGGCATGTCAGCCCATTTCTTCTAAACAATATACACATTTAGAAGGAAACTAGAAGAAGAAAAACAACTCCTTGACTGGGAGAGGCAAGCATTGCTCCCTTCCTTCTTGGTGCCTGGAGACCGTATCTGTTTTGAGTAAACAAGAAATATACCCAGTTTCAAAAAAGCAAACTTAGAATAATAGAATCATGGGGTTGGAAGGGACTTGGAGGTCTTCTAGTCCAACCCGCTGCCCAAGGCAGGAATCTTCATACTATCTTAGACAAATGTTGCCCAATCTTTTCTTCAAAACCTCCAGCAATGGAGCACCCATAACTCCAGGAGTCAAGCTGTTCCACTGCTTAATAGTTCTCACTGTCAGGAAATTCCTCCTTATTTCCAGGTCAGATCTCCCTCTGAGAAACTTCCACCCATTGCTTCTTGTCCTACCCTCAGGACAACACCCTCTTCCCTGTGGCAGCCCTTCAAGTACTGGAAGACTGCTATCATGTCTCCCCTCAGTCTTCTTTGTTAAGCTGAACGTACCTAGTTCCTTTAGCTGTTCTTCTTAGCATTTAGCCTCCAGACCCCTTATTATCTTTGTGGCTCTTCTCTGCACTCTTTCTAGGGCCTCGGCATCTTTTTTGTATTGTGGCCAGAACTGGACACAGTATTCCAAATGTGGCCTCACCAGTGCGGTGTAGAGCGGTACTATCACTTAGATCAGTCCTTTCTGCCTTTCCAAGTGTCCACCATCACCAGAGTAACAGACTGTTTCCTGACACTGAATAATCTGTCTGTCACAGTATTCCTCCAGTATGCTGAAAAAGTGCCTCCATTCAACAGGCTGAAGGCTGATAGTTCTCCAAAGATGGACTGCTATGGTTTTTTTGCTTTTATTTTTTCCTTGCAGCCCTGAGAAAGTCATCCGTATTTAGATTTCCTCCACCATCACCACCATACCCTATGTATGTTAAATATTGTACATTATATTGATTTGCATTTTTGAGCTCCACAGTCTGCAAAACATGTGGCCTAAAATGAGCACAACTCTATAGAAACAAAGATTGACATATAACAACTCATCTTACTTGAATTCTGGGCAATGTGGCTTTAAAAAACAACGCATTTTTCAAACTGGCAACAGTGATCCCTATATGATTTCAGAAATGCAGAGGCAAGTATGAAATTGCTTTTAATTAGTGTACTTTAATAGGCAACCCTTCAGCACCATTGTAAATCTTAAGCACTGATTGTCATCTTTCTCCAGGGCTGCCAATAACTATGGAAAGGAAGGCAATGGTGCCAAGCCAATGCAATGAAAATATTGATCAATCACAATTATCTTCGCCACAAGAGGAGTAAAAGCATACAATCCATATGATTCCTGATATCATTCCTAAGCCGAGTCCACAATTAGTAGGAGCGGACGTTAGCCACTCACCTGCATTTTGATGGACAGCTTAGCTACACTTGGAAAATAAAGGGAGAAAATAGATTTAAGCCTTTTTAAAGCATTTTTAAATTCTGCATCAAGCAATTACGTCTGCTCTCAGCAGGAGCCAAATTTACCGTCTCAGGAAAACCTTTAGAAAGAATCCAATGTGCTCTCACAAAAGAAATTAACAAAAGCTCCATCCAAATGAGGCCACACACAAGGAAACCTTCCCGTTTGGAGAGGCAGGTGTTTAAATCCAAAGGACTTGATGGGGCAGAAATTCTCTTCAGATGCAGCTAAAAGAAAGGACAGTTTTGTGGCAACACAACACACTGATTCATACTGTGAAGAAAGGGATGGATAAAGAACACCAGGTTCATCCCTAGAATTTAAACCACCACTAAACTGCCTTTCATCTTGAAACCTAGGGTCAGTTTGACCAGCTGCCAGGTTCTGCACCATCACAATGAAAGATTTAAAAGCAATGTTCAGTTAAACCACACAAAATAGAAACAATTCTCCTTAAGCATTGGCTGTGTTTTACCTGCTTTCCACCACTGTAATTCCTTTAATCTACCTTTTCGATTCTCTGCATTTTCAGATTCCCAGAGATCTTTGCAATTATATAAAGCAGAAGGCCATGATGGGCAGAAGTGAGAGTTCTTGATTTCTATATTTCTATAGGATATTTAAGATACGCCACTCAGAATCACCTTTGGTGAGATGGGTGGCCATATAAATTTGACTAATAAATAAATAAAAATAAATAAAAAATAAATATGCCTCTTGGAACAATCCACATCTTTTGTCTGTTTGGTTAACACAGACTTCCCTAACTTGCTGCCTTCCCAATTCATTGGTCTTTAGTTCCCATAATGCACGTCTATGATTGATAAGCATTACGAAATTGGAGCGTAAGACATCTAGGAGGCACCAGGTTAGGTCTGACCACACTGCCTGAGATTATAGGAATTTAAGTAAAATAAACTGGAGAGACCAGGCTGAAAAAAAGTTAAGCTTACATATCCTTCTTCATTTCTGTCAACTTTTGTTTAGGAATGGGAGACCCCAGGCCTAGCACAGAATTACAAATGTGATCCGCCAAGCAGTCAGATATTCACCCAAGCCCCTGCAATAAATTTCCCTCTAAGAGTTCCAACCCCCAATCTGCAGCTTTCACAAAAAGTCAAGGACAAGCCACAGA